TTCTTATCACCAGGAAAAAAATGTGAGTAGCGGACTTGTTTGAGTTGTTGATTTAGTCCACAATCGCCCGGGCCCTCTATTTTCATACAGCCCATCAAAATGCATACCTTATTCAAAAATGAATAGTGTAGATGATCATCACTCATTATTCANATATTCAGTTTAAATAGACAGTTTTTACTGAGCCATTTGGATTTACCCTTAAAATCAAATTGAAAAGATACCGGCTGCAAATTTCAGCAGGTCCCCCATTGGGTTGTGGGTGTTCAGCCGATTGTTACGACACATCGTCTCACCATTGCGCTATTAATTTTCCTACATGTCAGTATATAATGGATGGATCGTTTCACGTAGTCAGTGGGAGTTTTCAGGAAAAAACGGATCATCAACCAGAATACTTTTAACGCCACTTTCCAAATGATCTCGTATCACGTATATAGGACACTGGAGTTAATCCATCACTAAGAAAAATGTTGAATTTCCACGGCATGAGACGGATTCGCTGAGTTCAGGGTGTTAATCTAGGAGATAAATTAGTATCTATCCCTTGACACCTCTAAAAAGTAATGGCTGATGGATTACTGGGAAGTGCCTGCATATGTATTCTTCGTATCCGGTCACGCAGGGTACATATGCACTATGTTCCATGGATACAGCATTGGAGCTTTCCAGATTGCCCTTTTTCTAGTTTCGGAAAGTCACATATAGGACTCATAAAATCTTTCCGCGTCAATAAATGCCGTCTCTTGGAGGAGCCACGCATTTGACTTCCATTCAGGATCGTAGTGGTGTCTTGAATGCGTACGTGGTCCATGCAATTACTCGCCAACCGATTCACAGGTCTTCCTGGATGGTCCAATTACCCAAACCCGGAGGAATGTAAGGCTTGGTTGGCCTAGACGGATATCGAAGTGGGACATGATCCCCGGAGCATGTGCGTGATAGTACGCTTTTGGTAAGAGTGCTCTTAGAAATAGGAGGGGTAGATGGAGCAGTGGCTGGGATAGCTGTATTTTAACAGCTTCCATACTGTCCGATACACCGAGGCTTTTTTTATAAGTAGGACCTTGGATCTACGATGTATAGCCCTCATAGCTGAATACGAATTTATAGGTGACTAAACTCACCCTTCACAGCTACTACGAGAGTAAGTAATTTGTAGCCTCTTTTCTGTACCAAATATCTTTCATAGAAGGAACTTCAGGTGGAACTTCCGACTTGGGTAACCTGGGGTTCCTTTTACTTTTACAGAGGCGTTTTGCGCCCTCCGACCCAGCCTGAACTTCCAGTGCTGCTGAGTAGACAATAGTCTTAATGGATTAGGCAGTGGCCCTGGAGATCACCCATATGTATTACGCGCCAAATCACATCACTAGCTGGCGGTTCCCCATCCGGCAATAGCGAATTCGATGGTGAAGGGAATGTTGTGGCTAGAGTGAGGAATTCGAGAAGTTCTGGCTCATGGAATCACCCGGAAGATTCGCAGCGATCAGTTGGGATCCTAACTCAGCAGGATAAACCAATAAAAAAATAACAGCTTATGAGAAGCAGTTGCGGGGTTAGGGGTTTCACCTAATTGTCAGTGGGAATCAGTGGAAATGCTAAGTGCACGGCGCATACCAAAGAGGGTGAGTGCCTGTGGATAAGTATAAAACTAAGGAATACCATCAAAAAAGCTTTGTTCCATATTGTCAGTTCTACTCTGGTAACTTATCCTTAGTGCTTTCGAGATTAGTGAAAATCCCTTCAAAAAGGGCTGCGCGAAACGCACCCCCATGCAAGGTCTCCCTTTCCCCTTCGATCCCCTTGTCCCTCTTTCGCTTGGCTCTTTTTTGCTTGCATGGTAACATAGTCGTAGTCGTTCCCATATGTTCAGTCCCTACTTCGACAAAGAGTGCTCATTCAGAAGTGCATTGCGTGCCAGCTACGGAACGAATCTGATTCAGCCTCCGCGCTTGACGCTCTCATGAGAATGTCGCACATCTCAGTAGAGAGTTGTTTACAAGAAGGAGAATCAGATTCCTCCCCCACATTGGCATGAGCCATCGTATCGCGCAATCCATCGGCATTGCACTTTTGACAACAACATGGCACGAGGAGCGGCGAGCATATCATTAGCATTCATGACTGAGCGCGTTGTACTGCCAAAACTGCCCCCTCTTCATTGGAATGGCTCAGAGTACGGCCATTCATTGTTGCTCAGCCTTGTTGATGATGAAGCTTGAGTCAGTCACGCTGGACTATAATTAGCACACAATTGTATAAACAGATGATGTTCTCACGTTTCAGGAAGAGTCATGAGGTCACCTCGTGACAATTTTAAAAAGAAAGAAAGGTGGAGCTTGTGCTTTGGCTTTTGGTTCATGACCGCACGTATTGTGTGACGATCCCAGTCCGAGAGAATACCGACATAAGAAGACAAGTCTTCCTTCCCTACTGGGTCATGTATGTTTGGGAGTTTAGAAGCTCTATGGTTGGCTGTACCTCGTCAGTCACTGTATGTACATCCAACCCGAAGAGCCTTTGAACGCCACCACTTTTTTGAGTTGAAGTCGATTGTGTGGGCGATTCCTAAGTTGATGTCGAGTGTGTGGGCGATTCCCAAGACAAGATTGATGGACGTCGAGCATTCTACCTTTGACTTCTTTTCGAAATGGGAGGAGATGCGGTCGACTTCAGATCAGTTACTGTCATTAGTAGTCCCATTATCAAGAAAAGGGAGAAGATTTTAGCTATTTTCAGATTGGAAGGTTAGGATTGGGCCTCACTGGCCTATATAATTCATAAAGAGTTCCAGAGCCCGAACAGGTGTTTCTCAGGTCCCCAGAATGGGAACGATTCTACTTCTACGTGAAATTCCTCAAACCCTCCAGAGAACGACCGCGTGAGTTGGCTAATTGCGTCATACCGTAATGTACTTCCGCATAAGGTAGTTAGATGACGCAGAGCTTGATTAGTCCCTTTTTCTCTGCCTCTCCCATTCGGCTTACATCGTTAACCGATGGGCACTTTAAAAGAAAGTTCAATTGAATTGTGAAGTCTTCTATGTGACCGATCGCCATATCCTGCTTTTTATGGTCTCAGGTCAATTCACCGAACATGGAATCAGGGAACACGAGTCAAACAAGTTTTTGTGACTCGGGTGAGCCAAAGTTCCATGTACCCTCTGCGTGTCTCCCCTTCCAGTTTCCCAAACCAGGAATCTCTTTGTCAGCTTTTTTAAACTGTATTTAATTAATGGTTTGAAATGACGACATCAGCATCGTTGATTGAATATCGCCCAAGGTCACACAATAGAGTGGCACTTTTTCATGGGTAGGAATTAAATTGGTGGCTTAGCACGTTCACCAACTACCCTGACCGCCCCTTGGTACACGATGGCTTTCCTTACTGGTTCTGGGTGTTCTCAGAGCTAATGGATCCGTGATTAAGTAGACCTTTCCTAGCTCTTAAAGGTACTGGGGAACTCAACACTTCTATCTCTTACCTGTAGGGATGCAAAGAGAAGGAGGGTACCTGGTATGGTTCCT